AAAAAAAAATCATGAGGATTTAGGTTAGCACATGGCTAATCAATAAACCCTCCCAATAACATGAAAGATAGAATTGCTATTCAATCAATGTTATTGATTTTTATTTGTTGATAATAAAATAGGCTTAAAGGTTAGAACAACAAATAATTATTCTATTAACTTTTATGATTTACATGATATTAAGGGGTAGAAATGCTACGCAATTAATATCATTAAAGCAACATTATGTTTATATTTTTATATTTTTATCTAAAGAAATAGATTTTGCATAAGGATTCAAGTTAATAAATGACTAAACAATAAATCCCTCCAATAACGTTAAAAATAGAAGTGCTACTTAATTAACGTTATTGGTTGCAACATATCTTTATTTAAAAAAGACAAATTTGTTAAGGAGAGTTTAAGCTAGCAAATGACTAGTCATTAAACTCTCAGGACCTAATAATGTTAAAGATAAAAATGTTATTCAATTAACATTATTATTGGTCGCATATTAAATATTTTTATAAATAACAATATTAAAGGCAACAAATCATATTTACTATGTACAAACAATAAATAAAAATAAATAAATAAACAAAAAATAAATAAACAAATAAATAAAATAAACAAATAAATAAAAGAAAAAAAAAAGTTAAGAAAAGAACGATACCAAATGAATTGAATCTTCGAATATGATGATCAAGAAGGTGCTTTTTGGCTACCTTTCACACTACAGAGGTGTCTCACAGATCTTAAGAAATACAAAAGAGAGGGGGAAGAGAGAGAGAAAAAATTTCGAGCTCTGAAGAGTACTGGACGAAATTTTTCGGCCCTGAAAACTGTGCCCCAGACGTCTATTTATAGACGTCTGAAAACTGTGCCCCAGACGTCTATTTATAGACGTCAGACCTGACTCAGAACGGCCTGTTCCAAAACCGGAACGGCCCGTTCTGAAAATGGACGTTATGTGTTAAATGTGAATCTGGAACGGCCCGTTCTAAATTCAAAATGGCCCGTTCTAAGAGCGCAACGGTCGTTCTAAATTTCGGAACGGCCCGTTCCAGATAAGGAATTTAGGTCCTTGTTAGTCACTTAGAACGGCCCGTTCCAATTGGAACGTCCCGTTCTAAAAAAAAATAACTGCCCGTTCTAAGATCAAAACGCCCTGCTCTGGGTTAGGGTTGTAGGCCTTTCTGCTGACTTGGAACGGCCCGTTCTCAATTAGGTTTGTGGTGTCTTTTTGTAACTTGGAACGGCCCGTTCCAATCTTGGAACGGCCGTTCTGGGCTACTTCACTTTT